CTGCCACAGTACCTTTGATGAGGTGGAAAGGGTGGTGGGGCTCTGCACCTTGCCAACAGCCCAAGAAGAGAAGGAAGAAGAGGGTCTCTGCTCTTCTCATCTTTGCCTGGGTCTGTGCACCATTGGAGAGAAGCAAGTCTCCTGAAGCCCTCAGCTGAAGCAGCCTTGGACTCTGGGATTCTGTGGAAGCTGACCTCTGTGAGGTCACACTGGAAGCCAGGTGGGGGCAGTTCTACAGCGGGAGGGGGAGGGCGGTGTCTGCAGACAGGCATGGAGGGGGCCTGGTGGCTAAGCTGCCTCCCTCCATCCTGAGTGCACGGTAGCCTGAAGGTGGTAGCTTGCAAGTGACAAAACTTTACTAAGTTGGCTTAAGTGAATTGGAAGTGGCTAGAGCAGCCAGTAAATCCTTAGAATAAATCAAGGTATCACATTAAGCATTGTTATTTATTGCATTACATAAAATTATAACACTACAAATTATAAACAAAAGTAGAAGTTGATGTCATTCATGTATGTCTATTTCCCCTATTATCCTATTAATAAAAGCCTATGTGGTCATCACACCCTCATGCCATGACGCCCTCACGCCACAACAAGCAATCACCAGGAGGCTGCGTGTGCAGCGGGCATGCACAGGTGGGCGGGGCTGCATGCGCAGGTGGATGGGGGCTTGATGCTGCATGTGCGGTGGAGGCGGGGCCTGTGGTTCTGTGCGGTGAGGCCTGGGGGGTCCCTCGGCTCTGCAAGGCAAAGTGAGTCCTGGGATCCCACGGCTCCCCACCGCACAGAGGTGGGGAGTGTGGCTCCGCACAGCGAGGCAAGGCAAGGCCAGGGGTCCCACAGCTCCACGCGGTGCGGAGGCAGGACCCCCGGCTCCAGCCTACGTCTTTGGGGCAATCCATTGAGGAGTCCCGGATGGGTGGGCAGGGCCTACCTCTTTGGGGTGGTCGATTGCAGGGCTCCCACACTGTGAGAAGGCACAGGCCAGGCTGGTGGGACCCTCCCCCGCACCACCAGTGCACGAATTTTGTGCACCAGGCCTCTAGTGTTTTATTATTAAACTATTTCAAAAGGGAACATTTTATATTTTAGCACCTTTAACTGCACTTTTCCCCCTGCATGTTCATTTTGCATTGGGTCTCACACATTATACAGCTGGCCCTGCCCTTTAGCCCTCCTGTTCACACACTGCACTCAGAAGAGATCTTTTGGGGCAAAAAGTTGCATAAAAAGTTACATACTGAGTTCTGAGTAGTTCAGGTGTATTCCTTTGCTATAACAAAGTCCCAGAAAATGGAGGGCTGAACAACAGAAATCTGCTCATTGTCTTATATTCTGGGGGCCAGAAGCCCAGGAGCTGGTGTCAGCAGGGGCGGCTCCTTCTGAAATCTCGCGTCTTGGCTGGCAGGCGGCCATCTTCTCCCTGTGTCTTCACATGGTTGTCCCTCCAAACGCATCTGCATCCAAAGTTCCTTCTCTTATGAGAAGGTGCCTCTGCCGCCCGCCCCCATGGTAGAGGAAAGATGCTTTTGCCCCTTTGCACACTTAATCACAGTGGATTAAGGCCCATACCAATGATCTCTTTTAACTTAATTACCTCTGTAAAGACACGCCAGGTAAAGCCACATTCTGAGACACTGAGGGTTAGGACTTCAACGTATGGATTTAGGGGTGAGAGGTGGGACGTAATTCAACTAAAAACATTAGGTAATGGCAGCAGCATAAGTCTTATCTCTCTAAAATATCTTCAAAAAAGTAAAAACAGATTAAAAAAACATATGAAACAACCCAAACTCACTCCCTCAGCATAACCTAGAGGAGGCGGCATCAGGCACAGTGTTCCATCATCTCTGCCTTTTGGGGTCTGTCACTAAGGGAAGTCTTCGAAGACCCCATCGTCTGGGTTCCTCCATATCTGCTAAGAACTTACCTTCATTGGTGCATTTTGTCTTGTCAACAAAGGGTCGCTGCCACCAATCCAATGCCGACAGGAATCACCAATCTGAGGTTCAGTAAAAGGATACTTTTTTCAGAAAAATGGAATAAATGCAGCCTCCAGTGCCCTCCCTAGAGGTAAAGCAGAAGCCCACTCATACAGAGAAAGTGCCTGCCCTCATCCCTGATTGGTCCATTTTTATGCAAATTAAGGATCCAAATTTGCAGTTTGATTAGCCCAATTGCAATGTCCTGATTGGTCAGAATCATGAGTCCTGATTGGTCATTATGGAGCTGCTGTGATTGGTTTCTAAAGATGCAAATGAGGCCCTAGCCAGTTTGGCTTAGTGGAGAGAGCATCAGTTTGCAGACTGAAGGGTTCCAGGTTCCATTCCAGTCAAGGGCACATGCCTGGGTAGCTGGCTGGCTCAGTCCCCTGTAGTGGGCATGCAGGAGGCAGCTGATCAATGATTCTCTCTCATCATTGATGTTTCTATCTCTCTCTCCCACTCCCTTCCTTTCTGAAATCAATAAAAATATATTTTTTAAAAGATGGCAAATCTATAATAATAAAAGCATAATATGCTAATTAGACCAGACTTCCTTCCAGATGAACTTCCGGGTGAAGCTGGGGCTGTGAGGGAAGCCCGGATCCCGGGTGCCAGAAGGAAGCCAGGGCAGGCAGCTGGGGGAAAGGAGGCCTACTCTTGCACGAATTTCGTGCATCGGGCCTCTAGTGAGGATATACTAGTAACAGTACAGATCCAACTGCACAGGCCTGGTCTCAACCCATTGGTCAAACACCATCCCAGGAAGTCCTGGGTGGACTTAACCAAGAGGAACACAATGCAGGAGTCTGGGCAGCCCAGCCTGGTTTTCCCGAGATGCAGCCTGAGTGGACGGCCCCCTGTGAGCCAGGGCTGCTGGACTCTGCTTAGGAATTTGGGCCCAGGTAACCATCAGCAGGCCCTTCGGACAGGTATCACCTTTCCCGGGTCAATAATCTTCATTAGCAAAGTGGGTGTAAGTAACAGTGACTGAGACAGAACATCAACGGCATCTCAGTGTGAGGGTAATGTTCAGGCAAGAAAAGGAGATGCTGTCTGGGAGACACTGAGACGATGGCTCAAGGGGCAGGAGGGCGCGGCTGGTCCTTTGGGCAGGAGGGATCTCTCTTGCCACCTTCCTCTCCTCCTCTCCTCCTCTCTCTCTCTCTCCCTCCAAGGTAAGCCTTCTGAGCCCTCCCCTTTCCATCTGCCTCAGAGGATGATTGAGGAGCTGGCCCGCCTGCCTCTGAGCTAGGCTAGCTCCTTAGCCTTCAACAGCATGTACTTGTGGGGCTCCTTTGCAGCCACTCCTCGCCCCAACACTCTTACCCTGTTGTCTAGTGTTCATGGAATTTCTTCTTTACAAATGCTCTTTCATAAATGTTTGTTATGCAGACACCTTGCACTTCAATATTTTATTTCATTTTTAAAGTAATACACTATAAAGACAGACATATAGACCTAGAATAAAATAGAGAGCCCAGAAATAAGCCCTCACATATACGATCAAATGATCTTTGCAGGGGTGTCAACCCATTTAATGGGGAAAAGATAGTCTTTTCAACAAATGTGCTGGGAAAACTGGATATTCCCATACAAAAGAAAAAAGTTGGTCCCTTACCAACACCAAATATAAAAATTAACACAAATGAGTTAAAGACCTAAGTATAAGAGCTAAAACTATAAAACTTGTAGAGGGAAACACTGAGTTAAAAGCTTCAAAACATTGGATTTGGTGTCTCAGATATGACACCAAAGGTAGAGCCAACCAAAAAAATATAGACAAGTTAGACACAACATTTTTTTAATTTTGTGCATCAAAAACAATATTAACAGAGTAAAAAGGCAACCCACAGAATGGAAAATATATTTGCAAATCATATATCTGATAAGGGATTAATATCCAGAACTACTAAAAATCAACAGCAGAAAAAGAAACCAAACCAATTAAAAAATGGGCAAAGGACTTGAATAGACATATCTCCAAATGATGGCTGGGGTGGAGGGGGGTTGTTATAATTTGATAGCTACAGCACCTGAATTAATCTGAAAAGTAATCAAATTATTTTAAATCTTAGAACACATATACTTATGTGAATAGAGGGTTAAGTTTCTCATATGTGAATAGAAGGTTAAGTTTTTCTTAACTTTCCTTTTCAAGGCCTGTGCGAAGCAATTGAGGAGGTGACTCAGCTGTGAATCCAGCAGCAGAACCAATAAGCAGGGTCAGACTCACCTGAAGTCAAAACATCATCTCATCGACATCACTTCATCACCTGATGACTAAAGACAATAGCTGAGTCTGCGGACCTCCAGGGCTGCCTGGCCTAGCCCCTTCCCCTTTATAATCCTGCAGCTGCCAGAAGACAGGATTTGATGCTTGTAAGCACCGTCTTCTTGGTTGGCTAGCCTTCTGGATAAACGCATAACATGACTCAGCCCTGCCTTCATATTGGACACAGCGACGGGCAGCCAGAGCCCAACCAGGGGTTTCCCGGTAACACAAATGGACCATAAAGCACAAAAAAAAGATGCTCAATATCACAAATCATTCGAAAAATACAAAGCAAAACTATGCTGAGATAGCAGATATCTCATACTCATTAGGATGGCTACTATTTTTTTTAAATATACAAAAACAAACAAACAAAAAACAAGTGTTGGTGAGGATGTAGAGAAACTTGAACCCTAGTGCATTGTTAGTGGTGCTGCCGCCATAGAAAACAGTATAGAAGCTCGAGGTACTTAGTTAATTCATAGAAGCAGAAAGTACAACAGTGGTTGCCAGGGGCTGGGGGAGAGTGGGAAGTGGGGAATTAGTGTTTAATGGGCGTAGAGTTTCAGTTTGACAAGATGCAAGAGTTCTGGAGATGGACGGTGGTGATGATAACACAGTATTATGAATATTTTTAATACCACTGAACTGTACACTTAACATGGTTAAGATAAATTATATTATGTGTATTTTGGCACAATAAAAATGAGAAACAAAAGCAATATATACATAAACAAGTTAAAAACAATTCAGTACAAAAGTTTATATTGCAAAAAGAATTCTCCCCTCATTCACACACATCTACCAATGGTCCCTTTCTCATATTAGAGTTTTGAAGGTGTTGCATCTGCTCTTCAGAGCCATTCACACATACAATATTCTGGACACTTCGTCTGGCTTTCTTTGCTTTGATTTAACCATATGTCCTGATAGTGTTTCATATCAGATTATATAGAACTCCTGTATGAACTTAAACGGCTGTACATTGAGCCATTTTATGAATGCACAGACACCAGATACAAGTGAATACATGCCTGCGATTCCATTTGCACTAAGTTCTGAAATTGGCCAAACGAACGTGTGGTGTTAAATTCAGGAGGGTGGCCGCCTGGGAGGAGAAACAGGGCACTGACTTCTGGTGGCCGCTGAGGTGCTGGCCATGTTGCTGCTTAAGCTCAGTGATGGTTCCATGTGCGTCCACATGGTAACAACACGCTGAATGCACACTTAGGGTTTCTGCACTTTTCTGTATGGTGGTCTCCAATCTCATCCAGTTTATGTCACAGTCTAGTCACGGGAAAGGCATATATACAGGCACATCACTATGGCTCAGTTTGGAAAGCGAATTCAGGACTGTTACAGCCTTTGACTCCAGGGCGGCTAGAAGCCGCCCACGTGCGAATCCCAGCGGTTGCTAGTTCTATAAACTTGGCTAGGTTCCTCCGTGTCCACACCTGTACAATGGGAACAATATGCAATTACCTGGTAGTTATTGCCCGATTTAATATCACCTATGCAAAGTGGGTAGAAGTGCTCCGCAAGCACCGGATTAGGTGCCGGATAAACGCCAGCTACCAAGTTACCACTAAAGTGTAACTGTTACAGGAGAAAGGACCTTCGTCCGTGCGCAATACATGCTTTGGGTATAAAAGCCATCGCCAGCCTCCTCGGGGACTGCGCGATCGCGAACGAGCGAAGGGGCGTGGACGGAGGTGCTGGAGGTCGGGAAGACGTCTTCCCGGACAGGTGACATCGCGCCCCCCCACCCCTTGATTTCACCTGCGTCCCCTTTAAGAGCGAGGCCATGACGTCATCTCAACACAGCGCGACCTACCTTGAAATCGCCCGGCAGTCCTCCGGGAGACCGCAATTGGCTGATGGGCCCGCGGCGGCACCGCCCCTTGGTCCCGTTGCCCCGGCGCGGGCGGTCACTCTTGAGAATACTTAAATTTTCTCCATAGTAAATAGATTTGTCTTGAAATCAAAGGAGAACAGACCAAGAATAAATGCAATAGCATATAGTCCAAATTGTGTGCTTGCTGCACTTCTTCTTTTTCTCCTGTCTCTAGGTTTGGTAAACAAAAGGAAAGGTGAAATGGCAGAGAAGAAAGGAGCCGACGTCTGATCAGGTCATTGTACTGTTTCCCTCTGCATTATGTTATTTATTTTTATTGACAGATCTTAGGTGGCTTTTGGTTCTTGGGCAGGCAACAGTTCATAGTGACGTAATTCTCCATGGGAAGTGCTGACCACAGCGCTTCCCAAGGGGCTGCGCCCAGGCAGGACCCTCCGAGCGCACAGGCCCTCCTGCCCTCCCCCGGGACTGGGAGACACGCAGGTTGGGTCCTCCACCCACAGTCCGCCGCCTGGGTGGCTGCCGGCTGCTTCGATCCCCGAAGTGCGGAGCAGACCTGCGGCAGCCGGCGGCGCGGGGAGAGCTCAGGCCCCGCCCCCGGGACCGTGCTCAGTCGGGATACTTGTTCCCGAGCCCAGGAGAGGTGCCTGGCTTCCTGCGGCTTGTCCCGCCGCTCTGGCGCTCAGCGTGCCAGCTGCCCTCGGAGGACTCTGGCCTCCAATTTCTGGTCCATAGTAAGAACGAGTGGCACTGGTGTCTGCCTCTCGTGTGTGAGCCGGGGAGGTTTTGATGGTGATTCCTTCTCTTTCTCCCTCCCACCTGACCCCATGTCATCCCGGAGCGGCTCTTTTTGGAGTTCCCATGTGGGCTCCCTGAGCCACAGCACAGGATGTGTGATAAGAAGCTAGGACGCGGCGTAGGGGTGCCCTCAGCAGGCTCCAGGAAGGACCAGGCCACATCCCTTCTTGGGGTGAAGTAATTCACTCAGGCCAATCAACATGCTTCTGAGTTCGGGGAGCGGCCTGCACGATGCTCTGGGCTTCCAGCTGCTCTGTAACTTGGGCTGCTGCTTCCTGCATCGTAGACCCGGAGTGTGATGAAGACCTGTGTGAAGAGGGCCTGCGGGTGTGGGGGTTCCAGATGCCGGGTCCAGGCTGCAGCAGGGCAGCGCAGTTCTTGTCTGCAGTCTCTAGGAAAACTACTGGAGCTGCAGTTTCCTAGGCTCCCAGTGGTCTTTCCCCGGGCCTGTCCACTGGGAGCGGAGGGGCCAGGGGCTGTTGGGAAGAACGACGCTGGCTTTCAGGATAGCTTTGCCCTGGATCCCTCTTGCCGGAGCCGCCCTGGAGCGTGCGGAGCTGGATGGACTTTGTGATGGGCTCTCAGTGCCCTGTTGGCACTCTGAGCTAGATAGTTCCTGGTTGTGAGGGGCTGGCTTGTGCACACAGGGTGTTCAGCAGCGTCCCTGACCTCTACCCACTAGATGCCAGTAGCATCCCCTACAGACATTGTCAGATGTGGGAGGAAGGGATGTAGAAGTGCCCCCCACACGGCTTTGAACCACTGGGCGTACTTGTAAATGACCCTGCCTTCTCGGCAGGATCTCGGCAGCCTGCTCCCCACTGCAGGGCACTGCCTTAATTTGGAGGCGAATGCAGACAGCTAAACAGTGTTTTTCCTTGCAGGGCTCTGGGGTGATCAAGGCTGGCTTTGCAGGAGATCAGATTCCCAAATACTGTTTCCCAAACTAGTAAGTGTTCAGGCAGCAGCCCTAACGTTTTTGTTTGCTTCCCAAGAGAACAGTGATCCTGAGTCTTTGTGGCCAACCTTGAGGCTGACACTGTTGTGGGCTCTGCAAGGAGCAGACAGCTGCTCTGGGCTTCCCCCTCCCCTTGGGAGTCTGATTTTGGTCCCTCACTAAGAGAGGGTGAAGCGCCAGCATTCCCCTGGGGCCAGGGCGTGGCTGCAGCAGCTACAATAAAAGGGAGAAGATTCCCAGAGAAAGGGGAAGAGTGGGCGATTACTGCACAGCCACCTCTTCCTCCCAGGAGAGGTTTTCTTTGGGGCTTATTTATTTTCAGACTCTGAGAAAGCCTGGGGCCTTCGGCTACTCTAGTCCCTTAGGAAGTAGTTTTCCCTCAGCAGCGCACCTCGCAAATCCTAGAGGCTTTAGAGCAGCGGTCCTCAAGTGGGTCGCCACCCCTTTGGGGATTGAACGACCCTTTCACAGGGGTCGCCTAAGACCATCAGAAAACACATATATAATTACATATTGTTTTTGTGATTAATCACTATGCTTTAATTATGTTCAATTTGTAACAATGAAATTGGGGGTCACCACAACATGAGGAATTGTATTAAAGGGTCATGGCATTAGGAAGGTTGAGAACCACTGCTTTAGAGTGATTAGCCTAAGCCTGGCGGGGGGGTGTGTGGGGGGGTCCTTTCTGAAGCCCACTTGGGTGTAATTAAGGGTCCTGTTGTGCAGGGAACTTAGGTCAAATTTTAGAATCTCTATTTTGGAAGCCCCGGCAGTGGGAAAGGGGCAGAATCGACTGAACGGGACGGGGTACACGGAGCCACCACCCAGCTTCCCAGGGCAGCCTCCCTCGTCCTCCTGACCCCGAGAGCATGAGCTGAGTCACTGGCTTCGGAAGCCAACTCCTGCCAGAATAGGCCATGGAGGGCTGATGCTCCAGAGCTCAGCCCTCTATTGGGGGTGGTGGGGGGGGACACCTTTTCTTCTGACCCCGAGCTTCCTGTCCTGCTGAGGCCTGCTCTGTAGTCCCTGCTCAGTATCCCGAATCCCAGATCCCTGGCTTCTGACCTTTGCCCCATGGCCACATTCTGGTGCTTTGGAGTAAGTTACCCTTGACCACCGGAGTTGGGCTTTGCAGCTGTGCCCCTGCCTGCCTCACTGACTGCCTGTCCCCGCAGTGTCGGGCGCCCAAAGCACATGCGGGTGATGGCTGGAGCCCTGGAGGGGGACCTCTTCATTGGACCAAAAGCAGAGGTAACGTGGAACCTGCACTTCCCTGGGTTTGGGGTCTTCATGGTCCCAGGAGCCTGTCTGGGGGCAGAGCTGTCCTGCAGAGGCCCCCGAGACTGCTCTCTGGGCCACGTGCCAGATGCCCCCTGGGCTCTCCAGGCTTTAGCTCTGAAGTCTACCCTGTAATGAGGCGGTGGCTCCTGGGTGGGTACAGTGAGGCACTCATGCCCTGCTTTTGGAAGCTGCAGAAGAAAGAACTGATTAAAAAGTGACTTCAGAGTCTGAATTACCCAGACTTGATAACTGATCCCAACAAGAGCTGTGGAGCCACCTCTTGCACCCCAACTGGGGTGACTTGCAGGGGCCACACGGCCAGAGAGGCCCTCAGGAGGAGCGAATGGGGGGGGGCGGTTATAAGCAAGTGCAGATTAGGCACCTGGGCAACAGTGTGGGGTGCCAGGATCTGGGAGCACAATAGGGGCTCTCAGGAGATGGGTCAATAGGAAAGAGGCAAAGTGGTGCTTGGCAAGAAGGGACATAGGGACATTGAAGGACAGTCCATGCAGGAGATGTGAGCACTGGGAGAAGGGGCAGGGGGTGACAGGTGACCACAGAGGGGACAGTACAGGCGCCGATGGGAGCGTAGCCATGTGTGGGGAAAAGAGGAGATGCGCTGGCCATGAGTATAGAGAAGTGTGCCAGGGGAGGAGGCGGAGGGCCTGGGGGGATGGGAGGAAGCACGTCACCACCCTCCCTGTCCCTGGCCAGGTGAGGCTGGCTAGACTCTGAGAGGCTGCCAGACAATCGAGCCAAGCGCATGGGGACACCCAGGAAGCAGCGGTGGTTCTACTCGGGGCAGGTGAAGGCAGAAAGCAGTGGTGGGTGTGGGGCCTGGGGCCTGGAGCCACACTGCCTTCCCACCCCTCCTGCGCAGGAGCACCGCGGGCTGCTGGCTCTGCGCTACCCCATGGAGCATGGTGTGGTGCGGGACTGGAATGACATGGAGCGCATCTGGCAGTACGTCTACTCCAAGGACCAGCTGCAGACCTTCTCCGAGGAGGTGTGGCAGCCAGGCCGCCCCCAGGCTCCCAATCCCCTCGCTGTGCCCTCCCTGCTGTGCTCCCTCGGGGCCAGGCTCCCATATTGCCTGCGTTTTGCTGGGGCCTGTTGCCTCTTCACTGTGTGGGGGGCACAATGGTCGGGCGGCCAAGCAGACACTTCCCGGGAGCGGGCTGTGGGAGAGTAACTGCCAGCAGGTGACAGGACAGTGTCCTTGGGAAGGACATGCGCTCACTGCGGATGCACGGGAGGAGGGTTCCTCTGGAGGATCCTTCAGGGCCTCGCGTGCCGTCTGTGCACTCGCCCACAGCTCTGCTGTCTCTCGCAGCATCCTGTTCTCCTAACGGAAGCCCCGCTCAACCCGAATAAGAACCGGGAGAAGGCGGCAGAGGTGTTCTTCGAGACCTTCAATGTGCCGGCCCTGTTCATCTCCATGCAGGCCGTGCTCAGCCTGTGAGTGGTCCCTGGGTCCCAGCCTCCCTGGGGCCGTCCTGCTCGAGGTGACCAGATGGGGAGTTCCTTGGGCAGTTGTCCTAGGGTTCCTTCCGGGGGTGGGAGGCCCATGCCTTGCCGGCTGAGGCGAGGGGATGCTGACCTGCTGACAGGTATGCAACAGGACGCACGACAGGAGTGGTGTTAGACTCAGGGGACGGGGTCACCCATGCTGTCCCTATCTACGAGGGCTTTGCCATGCCGCATTCCATCATGCGGGTGGACGTTGCTGGCCGCGACGTCTCCCGCTATCTCCGGCTGCTGCTGCGCAAGGAAGGCTTCGACTTTCACACCTCAGCGGAGTTTGAGGTTGTTCGGACCATCAAAGAGGTGACGAAGGGCAGGAGGTTGTGGAGTGACGGGAGGAGGGCAGGACCAAGGCTTGAAGTCAAGCCTGGGTGTGGGTGTCCCAGTCACAGCCTTTGAAGGTGTGTCCCTGCTCCCCACGCCTCGCAGAGAGCCTGCTACCTGTCCATCAACCCGCAGAAGGATGAGGCTCTGGAGACAGAGAAGGTGCAGTACACCTTGCCGGATGGCAGCATGCTTGACGTAAGTCACCAGGCCTGGCCCTGGGTGGCGGTGGTGCTGCTGGGCCCAGAGGAAGAGGCCTGTACCTCAATCTTATGTCCCAAAGGTGGGGCCAGCACGATTCCGGGCCCCCGAACTGCTGTTCCAGCCAGACCTGGTAGGGGACGAGAGCGAGGGGCTCCACGAGGTGCTGGCCTTCGCCATCCACAAGTCGGACCTGGACCTCCGCCGGACGCTGTTCGCCAACATCGTGCTTTCAGGAGGCTCCACGCTGTTCAAAGGTGCCTGGCCTGGGAGGTGGTGGTGGGGCCGAGGGCGGCCGGGCCTTCTGCATCCGCTCCCAGCAGCCTGGGACAGGGCTCCTTTTCTATTGGCTTTTCGGTGCTCAGTGAGCAATGCTTTTTAAGAGTAAGATTTAAAATGACATTTACTAACTTCATAAGTAGGTGATTGGTTCATATGAGATCTAAAATGTGTTAGATGAAGTGTCCTTTCCCATTGTCTTGGTCACCCCTTCCCTCCGCACAGGACTTGCTGGTTTCTCAGGCAACTGTCGGCTGACTTCCTGCACATATAAACACATGTGCATCAATCCCACATACACGCAAACTGCATGTTCTGCACATCCCAACCATGTATGGCTTACTTAGCATATTATCTGGAAGGTCTTGTCCTGCCATGTAAGTTCGATATGTCCGTGTGGTATTTCACTGGACGGATGTGCCACGTGGCCTTTGTCCTGCTGATGGCCTTTTGTAGTCCCTTCTAGTCTCAGATGTGCACCATCATTTCCCGTGGTGAGAACAGACCGACAGTAAATCCCAGAGAATAGCCGGGTGGGGCGGGGGCGGGGGGTTGTTACTGGGTAGGTGCTGCCAGTTCCCTCCTGGGAGCTTGTACCCATCGCCTGCCCAACACTGTGTGATCTCTGCCCACCTGATAGGCAGAATGGTAGATGTTTTCTCCTGATTTGTCATTTGCCTTTGACTTTGCTTCTGGCGGGTTTTGACTGCTGGAGCATTGGGTGAGGAAGAACGTGGGGGGCCAGCAGAGCCAGGTGACTTGGGTTTCTAGCTCATGTCACCTCTCTTTGTTAGCGGGGTCACTTGCAGGCGTGGGGCTGGGTCTTTTCTGCCCTTGGAGTGGCTCGCGCCTACCCTTAATGCTGGAAAAAGCTGCTGAAGGAAGGTGGCGGCTGGGGGTACCAGGCTGGATGAGGGGAGCTAGTGGTGAGAGGGCCAGAAGGGGACCCCAGGCTAGCCAGCCTTGTGTTCACAGGCTTTGGCGACCGATTACTAAGTGAAGTGAAGAAGCTTGCCCCAAAGGACGTCAAAATCAAGGTGAGTTTGTGGAGCGTGCCCGTGGCGCATGGGGTGCTGGGCAGCCCTGACTGGGAGGAGAGGGCACCGGTCGCCTCCGGGGGCCTCTCATTTCCAGCCCAGCCCAGCCCAGCCGCTGCTCCCATTTGCCTGTTGCCCCTGCTCCCGGCTCATGTACTTGCTGTCTGGCCTCGGGCGTGGGAATCACCCCCGGCGGGGACGGGGACGGGGACGGGGCTGCTGCGGGGAGACAGGCAGTTACGTGTTCTTGCTCCCTCTAGATCTCGGCCCCTCAGGAGCGGCTATACTCCACGTGGATCGGGTGAGGCAGGCTCCGAGGGAGGGCTTGGGAGGAAACCATTTTGCCCTGGACACTTCTCAGGGTTAGCCAGGCCGGGAGGAGGTGGGTGGACTTCCTCCCAGGTGAAAGAAACAGCTCTGAGTGCCCAGGGAGGGCGGCTCTCCCCAAGACACCACCCTCCCTCCTCACAGTGGCTCCATCCTGGCCTCGCTGGACACTTTTAAGAAGATGTGGGTCTCCAAGAAAGAGTACGAAGAGGATGGCGCTCGTGCTATTCATCGTAAAACCTTCTAGTGCCCAAGGAGGGGGCAGCGTTGGGAGAATGGGAGGAAGAGAAGCCAAAGTCTTTGACCCTTTCTGTCTGGGCCCCCTGCATGCCCCGACCCCGGGCAGGGTGCAGCAGCGCCTCCCTGCAGCCCTCCCACATGCACGCACATACACAGGAACGTTTAGCTGCATGGTGGGAGTCTGGATTATAGGAATTGGGGAGCCCAGCCTTCAGTGGTTCTAGGGGTCCCTCTTGGCAGGACCAATTAAGCCTATGGTTCCTGCCTCTAACCCGTGGGGCTGCTTCCCTGAGCTCTAAGGCCAGACACCCAAATGCCCCCATTTCCTCTGACAGTCCCTCCCAGAGCCGGGGTGCCTGTGTAAGTAGCCTTGGGGAGTGGAGTAGAGGAGGGGCAGCCAGCAGCTCCCACTGGTGTATCGCTGTTTTTCATGCCGCCTCCTCTTCCTGACCTGACAGGGTGGCGAGAAGGCCAGCTACTCCTAGGCATCCCCGACCTTCCGCACTGTCCCCCCGTCTTCCTGAGTGGATGCCTGGGTGCAGGCTTAGTCCTGGTAGCCTGCCCTCCCCAGTGAGGGGTTCTGGCCACGGTTGGGCGCTATAGAGCCGGGGCAGAGTACGCTGGGGGCTTGGGCAGCCAGTCTGTTACGCTCTCCCCTTCAAAGCACTTCATTGACTTGCTGCTCCTCCTCCTTTACCCCAGTACCGGATGGGGAAGGGTTAATGGTCTTTGCTGGTTGAGGGGGAGTCACTTAATCAGGAGTCGGACCCAGAGGGGTGAGAGGGCACAGTCCTCTCCCATGAAGGTCTTCATTACCCTGGGGCCAGAGCCCCACCGCCCCCTCCCAGATATGTATAATAATTTAACACAGTTGCCTGAAAAAAACATTTTTGTAAAGCATCATAGTAATAATTATGGACAAGGCCCAGTGTGTGGCCGTTTTCTTGTGGTTCTTGTGCTGTTGTTTGCTCACCCAGCCCTGGGGACTCTGAAAGGACAGGCACGGAGCAGTATGGCACTGGCTCTAGTTCAGAAGCCTGAGGGTTTTAGTGGTTGGTGGGGCAACGTGGCACAGGAGGCCCCAGGAGGCTGGGCTCTCTGCCTGGAGGCAGAATTCCCAGCCTCATTACCCATCCTCCGGAGCAGCAGGACCAGGCTGCCTTCCTCTGCCTGTTCCTGGACAGGGCCTCCTGGCAGGTGGGGCTCAGGCTTTGTGTCTTTGCGTCCTACCTGTTGGAACACCTCTGCTGCCCCCTCACGTGTGGCTGTGGCTGACAGACCAGCAATGATGCAGGCAGAGTTCAGACAAGTCAGGAAGGAGAGTGGTGGGGGGAGATGGCAGTGGTGTCGATGAGCTGGGCTCTGAAGGTAGAAGCTGAGGCCAGGAAGGCGGTAGAAGGAGCAGTGAGAAACAAGTCCAGAGAGTGTCTGCCCTTCACCAAGTCTTTGAACACCTGGAGTATGTCCAGGAGGGTGCCGTTTGGGGTCAATGGTAAACATCTTTGCCCCAAAAAACACAGGTTGGGAGGAAGAACAGGCTATCTCAGTACAGAATTGTAGGGCCAAATGGAGGGGCATCTAGCCCAGCAGTGGGGCAGGTTGGCTTGTGTGGGTCCAGGAGTTAACCAGGTGTGGGAGGGTGTTCCAGGCAGAGGTAAGAGCTCAAGGAGACGCCTGGGCAGACAGAAGGGCACAGACCTGAGTGATGCCAAGTCAGCAGTGAAGGGGAAGTGGTCTCTGGCTAGAATGCAAGGTAGACCAAAGAGGGAGGTGGGACCAGTGTATGGAGGCCTCGGGGGGAGGGGGAGTTACTGTGTCCTGGCTGACGGGCAGCCCGCCACAGGAGCGTGGTTGTCATCGCTGTGTGTGGCAGGCGATGGAGTTAGAAGAGCTGAGGGAGGGCCCAGGACTGAGATCATGTGTAAGGGGAGAGATTACTCTGTCTGGCCTGTCTTCACGGGGCGTTTTATGAGGTTTTGTTGTGAGCAGGTAAGCCCATACCTGCCTTCAAGGGGGAAACAGAATTTACAGAGAACCTTTTGTTTGGGGTTCTGTTCATGTACCACTTTCTCCCAGCCACACAAGTTGCAGCCCTATTACATTGAGTCCTGCCTCCTCCCTACCTCCTCCACATTCTGTCAGTCACCAGTTCTGTTGGTTCTGTGGTATCTTCCCCCCCCCCCCCCCCCCCCCCCGGCAAGCCTCCCCAAGCTTCCCAATGTAGTTTGATAGTCTGTTCGATGCTGCTCTGCCTCTGTATCTATTTTTGCTCATCAGTTTATAATGGTCTTTTCTCATGATGGCCGCACCCCTCTGGCTCAAGACCACAGCTCCACTTTCCCCAGCAATCCATTGGCTCTTGGAGCTAAAGCCCAGAGAGCCTTGGTTCTGCCACTTCCTAATCCACAGTCTAAGCAGTTCTCCGCTGCCTGGTGAAATCACCTTCACGAACTACCCATTGTTGATTTAGTTCAGGCCCTTTGGGATCTGTCTTAGGCTTCCACATCATCACGCCCTGCTTTGCCTGCCAGCCAGCCTCTGCTCATGCTGTTTTCTGCTAGGAGTGACTTTCCCACCTGTCTGTGAAAATCCCATCCTTTAAGACAAGCACTATGCAGCACACTCCTCCCTCTTTTGGCAGGGATGGTGCCAGCTCTGGCCCTGCTGGAGCAAAATGACATGAAAAGGTGGTAAGGTTAGAATGAACCTTATGGGGGTGTATGGATTCCTAGATACATCCAGATAGATACTGAAATAAATATGCCTCTGGGTATGACCACTAGGGTTAGAAATACTTGTATATTTCCTAGCCCTGACTACTCAGAGGGCCTAGAGGCAGTGATGCCCCAGTAGCAATGAGCACATATAGTGTCCAAATCTTGGTTTCTAAATACTATTCTTCAATAAAAGGAACCAGAGCTCCCTGGGGAAATTCTGATCTGAAGCAGAGAGAATATAAAATAAGTCTGGAATATCTTATACCATAAAGAAAGAATGTGCTCAAAAAAGGAAGGAGGCACAGGAACCAACCTGAAGGAGCACCCAGTGGTCAAATCTGCAATGAATTATAAGCCATAGAATACAATCGTGATGAGGCCACTCTGACATAGATTTATACATGGGAGAGAAGGGACAGTTCTTCCTTACAGTAAAATTGCAATTAATAAATGTTTACTGATCTATTAGTGCCATAAAGAAATCTGCACACAATAGTTTAAAGCAACATAAATACAGTTCTATAGAAGTCTGACATAGCCCTGGATGGGTAGCTTGGTTAGAGCATCGTCCCAATACACCAAAGTTGCAGGTTGATCCCCAGTCAGGGCACATACAAGGATCAAACAATGAATGCATAAGTAAGTGGAACAACAAATCATTGTTTCTCATGCAAATCAATTTAAAAAAAAGTCTGACCGTGGGTCTCACTTGTGCTGAAATCAAGGTGTCA